ATAGCCCCACTGCTACCATATCTAATCTCTGATCTGATTTGTCCACGGGGTCTCTCTTCTACTGCCTCATACGTGTCATTCTTAAGAATTATTTTGTAATATCTAGCCTGAGTGAAAGAGTTTTTTTCCAGCCAATAAAACCCCATACTTCTAACAAATGCATCAGGTCTCCTGATGCACAAAATTTCATTCCTGTCTGTTACATTGACAAACAGGAAACTTCTAAATTCAATCCTGAGACTTGGACAGTTCTGCTGGATTTAAGCATTTGCTTAAATCCTGGTAAGCATTTGCTTGTATACAAAAGAGGATACAGGTTAGGCCACCAACAGCCCTGAGCTTGTGGGAGTTAAGGTATTTTTTCTTATTCCTTTTGCTAATTTGAAACAGCTGTTATGAGTTACTGTACAACAGAATAAGCTGTCACTATACAGCCTGCGTATGGTGTAAAATAGAAATCAATGATTAAATTTTAATAAATCACAACTGTAATTGGGATTATGGCCTTTTCAATTTAGCTGCGTCAAAGCACATCTGATCTGACCTCACAATGCCATACCCAGAAAATCCAGAGTCCATTCTTTTAATTGGTATGAAAGGGCCTTTTCAATTCAAATGCCACTTACTTGCCAAGAAAGCACTTGGGAACAGTACTTAATTTTCTCCTCCTGTCTTTGATAAGGTTCACTTTCTTGCTCATCATCATTTGGTACAGCTTCTCTCCTTTCTCTGCAATCATGACATATGCATCCCTCTCCATTCCCAGTTTCAAACCTGGAATACAAAGCAGAAATTCCTTCAGATCCTCAACATCAGATAAAGTGTTTGCTCAAAGTCAAAAGCTGAGGCCAAACAGACAAAGTGGTAGAAACACAAAAATTAACTGCTTTATTTTCCAAATAAGGAGGAAATTGGGTCATTTATTTATCTGAGTACAAAACTGTCATTGGTGAGTTTAGCACCAACAAGATGCTTGCAGCTTTTCTTCTCCATTTTAAAAAGTAGCTTTAAACTTATGGTTACATTACATCACACAAAGTAGCATGGTTTACAGAACATGGAGAAGTTCCAAACAAAGCAAGATAAAACATACACCTTCTGAAACTGATTTCCTGTTGCAATTTCACTTTTGACCCTGAAATAACTGTCAGCATAAGACTTGTTCAAGGCAGCTAAAAGCAGATGACATTTTGAGTGTTCTATTACTTGAAGCCAAAAATACAAAACTGCTGAAATCAAATTCACATCCTTAAATAAATCAAAACTAAACAGGAACATTATTTTCTCATCCTTTCTTAATTAGCCTATTTATTAATACCTCAGGCTAAAAATACAGTTTGACAATCATATTATCCAGTCAATGAAAGAAATACTGAATGATTTAAGGAATGATAGATAATTGAATATAGAGAAAATTTCACATTCACTTTGTATGAATTTGCACATAGCTGACATTAACTTGAAAATTGCTACAGTCAGGAGGATGATCTCTGAAAACAATAGGTGTCTATGTTACAACTATCATCATAACTGGCATTTTCTGGCACTCTTCCCTTTAGATCTGCAAATTGCTTTAGGAGGACAGCACGTGAGAAAAGCTGTTTTGCTGCTGTAGATGTTTTGTCTCTTCTAGCCTTAACATATAATTTTGTTTTCTGGCTATGTTATTCTAGAACTTGCAAATCTAGGCAACTCTGGAGTCCAAAACAGAGGCACAGATCTTAGACATCTCTAAGATTAGCTTGAAAACAAGCAGCCTGAATTGTACTTAAGTGCCTAATTTTTACAAAGATTGACATTAGGCAGAATTAAGTGATCAGTGTAAGGCTAGAAAATGAAAACTGTACATTCTTTGGGAAGAGCAGTTCACCCTAACTGAACATAAATCCTGTTGCTTTATGGTAAGATACTGAAATGAATTAGTAGTCATGTGTCATCAGAGCTGCTTTCTAGCTTTTTGAAAACACTTAATGCATTTGTTTTAGAGGCTTGAAATGCACGTTCCAGAAATTAGACTTGCACACAACATTTTGTCTTTCAAATACAGTATTTCTTTCATGTGTCCAATATCTGGCTAAAGGTTTTGGCTCCGCCGTTAGGCTTATTGCCGTTACTCTTCCATCCTCTTCTTCCCTCAGTACTGTGATCCAATTCAATGCGAATGCTGACACGTGTAGCCGAGGCTAATTTGCAACGTGAACTTGTGATAGAAAACAGCCTGTGTAATAGTATACATGTTTCCTGCTGGTCTTGCATCACTGAATTCCCCAGGCTCTGATGTAAATGGCAGATTGGAATGCATATTCTACCCAACTCATCCTACAGAATTGGGAATCTCACCAAGCTTTCTAATCCAAACACTGATATCTCTCTGACTTTGCAAGTACTCTGATCCAAAGGAGATTTTCCAATAAAGCCTGGAATGTCTGCCACAATATCTATGCTTATCCCGAGTGCCTGTCATCGGCTGCCACATCATAAAACTATATGACAAAAAGCATCAGAAAAACCCCACTCTTACTAGCCATGCTGCATGGAAAACTTTGAGAAACTTTCTATTAAGGAATAGTTCTTTTCCCTTCCTAATACTTATTTCAGTCACTTCCCCATATTCTCAAGATCCCTGTTTATATATGGTCTGTTTTTCTAGCCCTGTCTTTTTACTTCTTATTGAACCTTTTCTCTCCTCACATTTTACCTGTTGCACAGGAAATTCTGGAGAGCACTAGTAACCTCACAAAGCGAAAACTCACTGTGAAATGGAGGCTCACTGGATCTTTGAGAGATATAATTTAGCACTCTGAGGAAAGAGCCAAGAAGTGTATTTTATTAAGAAAATATATCATGTAGAAGATCAGAATCCTTATAGTAGAGTGGGATGCATAACTCACCAATGAGCACAGATCACCAGCTCAGAATGGTAAAACACTTCCTTTTAATAAAAAAAGAAAACCCCTAACCAAAAACAAAAAACCACCAAAAACAAAAAACCAAAACCAATCAAACAAAAAACCAAAACAAACAAACAAACAAACAACAACAAAACCCCACAAAACTGATTCTCTCTGTTGCCTTCAGGTAGTTCTTTTGAATTTACACCATGCCCAATCTACATTTTGAAGGTAGTATCCTTGCTATTATCAAAAGGTGTATTGGGGTTTATATACGTTAAGGTATGTTAGAAATGTTCTATATTCTATGGTAACAAATAACACTGCAATGTGCATTGTGTTTAGCAGATTAAATGCAAAGCATTGTAACATAAAACCTAAGGTTTGGATTTCAAAGGACATTAAATGATTTAGAGTCTCTGCTTTCATTAAACTTCAGTGACAGATCTGTTATTTTCTTAAAATACTTTAAAAATCTAAAGCATTATTGCTTAGCAAGTACAAGTTCTGAAAACACACTACTAAAAAAGGGTTTCAGACTGACCTCTTTCAATATTAGCAATAGATGAGCAATTACATCTTTACTGAAGTTGCGTGTGCAGAGAACACACTTCTGAAAGTCAAGTCAGGTACAGAATGTTTTAAAATAAGTGTCATTTCCTCTGGCAATCAGCTATTATTTTTCCCATTGAGCAAACAGGGAAGCAGGTTCACTTGTGAAAGACAGTTCTGACTTTTAAAGGAACTCAGAGCTTCTATCATCCACCCTGATTCACGGCTTTGTGAGCTTGCTTCTATTGTACAACACTGTTTCAAGATAAGCTTAGTTTTTGTTTCATTCCACAAGAAAAGACAAAAGTGACAAGCATCTGCATACATTTGTCACTGTTCTCAGTCTAAGCGTAGTATTTCTAGAGTTTTTCTCCATGAACTGTTCTGTTTATTTCAAGATCATGGAGGCCGAGTTTGTGAGAATGAGTTCGTGTCGTTGCCTTGGGGAAAAAGGCTGCACGCTGGATTTTCTTCTTTCCTTTTACTGATAAATACAAATACAATTTTATTTTATTTACAGACAAAAGACAAAAAAATGAAATTGATTAAATGTCATTTTTTCACAGCAATTCAATGCATCAGAGAAACTGACTGTAGCAAATAAAAATATTTTATAAATATACTGACACAAGTCCATAAAAACCCCAGGGTACACATCCAGAAATATTTGTTTTCAATCACTTGCTTTTCTTTGTCGTTAAGGATAGATTTTAATTTTGCCCATGGAGGAAAAACTGCAACCTTTTCTTTTTCTCTCAGATACTTATACATGCATACACATTTCTCCTTTGTACACAAGTTCATTCAGTGCATTAGAAAATACATTATTCACTTACTCTCTCTCTGTTCCCTTTCCTTGATTATAGCATCCAGCCATTTCTGTTTGTCCTCTGCAGTCTTGGCCATACAGACAAACCACTTGTTTTTGGCTGTGTTGTGTATCTTCCAGCCATTTGTCACAGTGTAGCCGTTGCTGTGGTAATCTGCTGTAAAAACCCAAAACACAATGCACACAGTGAATAGAAGGCCTGCTACTTTAATCAAATCAATGTGGGACACCTCAATTAAAATTTTCTTCTTTGAAGAGCTTGATTTCTGGAGGTGTTCCTCATGCATCAGTCTTACTGACTATCCGTGTGACTGGTTGTTACTTACCACTCTGAAAGTACAAATATTAATAGAAGTATCCATGGCTAGGCTGTTCAACTGACTGAATGTTTCAGTCCTAAGAACGACAATTTGCCATTTCACCTCAGAAGAACTAAAATATTTTAAATACAATGACATCAGTGAAAAAGCCTATAATGTTTGTTCAGGTTATTTGTTCTGAACTTTCTGGGGACATGCTAACTTCTTGCACTGTAAGGATTTTTGTCCATAGGACATGGGAAATCTTTAAATGTCAACTGTTTAAAGGACATAATATTAATTTCTGACTTATTACAATAGGAGCAGGGGCTTTGTTGTGGATGAAATCAGAAACCCATCCAGTCTTCCTGCCTGTGTCAGAACACAAGAATCACAACACAACTGCATTCCCGTATTTCGTTCATGGCCACATTCCATGCTACTGATTTGATGTTAAGACTAATATTTGGTAGTATTCTAAATCAGAAGAAGATCCACAAGTTCTGTTATTATAGCTGTAACGGCTTAAGATGTAAGAAAAGAAAGGATGAAAGAAGATAAAGTATCTTTTACTAAATTAACTTGGATTAGGAGAAAAAATAGACAAGCTTCAGGGTACACAAACTCTCTATAAGGTCATTTCAGAATGAAGGACTAGTGCCTGAAAATATGTCCGTCTTTCAACTACATAAGTTGGTCTAATACGAAGGCATCAGAAGTTACATAGCTTACTTAAGCTTTCATCAAGTACTTTTGTACCAATTTTCAACACAAGATCTGGACTGCTGTGTTGTTAAAAGACAGTATTTTGTCTCTTACCTGTTCCATCTTCCACATTCTCCACCTCCATGACTTCTGTATTTATTCGGCCCCTGAAGATATACAGGGACCCGTTGATTGACTTTGTTCGTTTAGATGTTTTTTTCCCAGTAACTCTGCAATTGGGATTTAGACTGTTAGCAACACATAAGCAAATAGTGTAACATATATATGCATAAATCAATCTGAGATATGATTATTAAAAAAGGATTCCAATATAGTGTTTTGTGGTATTTGACCATGTCTCTGATTTTAAATAATTGGAATACTCAATCAGCTCACAAAGATAAGCGTACAACAGTGTCAGCAAGCGATAAAAAGCTTATTTTGCCAGATTATGTGAAGATTCGAATGCCTTCAAGATTTACATTCTTGATAACTAACTGATTGAAATGCCAGCACAACTCAACCGCACGTGGCTTTGGGATGAAAACTGCAATATCGCCTGACACAATGTTACATTTGTCTCCTTTGTCTGCCTAAAGCTTTGATAAATTTGTGGTATGTGTACCAAGTTTCAAATATGAAATGAAACACGTAAAGAGGCTAGTGTCACATGGTCTGTCATATGTGTGTTAAATATCATTGTATGCAGCATTGTGAAGGTGCTGCTGTGGTGATTTTGCACTAAAGTTTACATCCTTATCCATAAGCTTTATAGTATCTCTGTTGAAGTGTCTTATAAAAAATTTCAGGAAAGTACTTTTCTTGCTAGTTACGTTCTGATTTTTATGTCTAGAATAGGTTTAAAACTATCCAACTGACACCTGCTGAGCTTTAATATCTAAGAACAACCCTGCTATGTGAACCAAAACACAACTGGTCAAATGATCATCATTTGAGATGGCAGGTGTCCAAACTCTGTACAGTGAAAGGATTGCTGTGGCAACTTGCCAAGAGCTCATAAGATTCAAGGAATATTGCAATAAAAAACAGCTGGGGCGAAAATTTCTGTCAAAGTGAAATATCTATGATAAACTGAGGTGAGAGGAGAATCACCAAGTTTTTCTGAACGATTTTTCCTTTTACAACTAGCTTTAGTCACAAATACACCTTTAGTGATGACCATATATTTACATCCAATCAGACTGACAGGGACTGAGATCTTGGAACTATTAGATCATTTCCTAAAGACGACTGTTGGAGTCAAAAGAAAAGCCGTCCTGGCAGCCTTAGTGAAACCTTTAAATACTCAGCCCATTTCCCCACATGAAACATACTGTTCCTGACATCAGGATCCAATTTAAACAGCAGTCTATGATCCTGCTAAAAACACAAAACAATACTCAGCCCTGAAAAACTATGTCATCAGTTTGTCAGACTTCCCTAAGCTTCTGCAAAAGATGAGATTGCAGTCTTAGATCTAAAATCACAGATCTAATTCTGATTCTAAACACATCTTAAATTGGCCTCAACAACACTACTCCTAATTTATGCTGTTGTGAAAAGATTATAGAATCATAGAATTCTATGATTCTATGATAGATATGATGCCCAAATTCAAATGGCTGCATTGTTGACTACTTATCAAACATTGAGGCCTGAATTCTGATTGCACTTTTCAATCAAGAAAAACTCCAGTGACTTCTACAAGATAAGCATAGCATAAGGGAGATAAGAACCAAGTCATTCAATTTCAAATTAGGAACACACACAGGCAGGTTTTGGCTTGTTGCGTTTTTTTTGGTGGTGGTGTTTTTTTTTTTCCCCCCCTCCAAAATCTGTGTCCCACTAACATGTCAGTTATTTGTCAAGCAGCTGGCCAAATGATCACACCAGCACAACTGGATAGGTATTCATTTCCATCCTGGACTAATTATAAACAGCAGCTAGACAGGAGAAATACCCAAAATTAAAGTTGCTCAGCAATCCCTAAATATATCTTTTACATTAGGTAATTCCCAGAAGACTTAATAAAATATTGTACTCTTTAATGGAAATCAGTTCAATGGAAATCATTTCATCAGTTCAAGCTACATTATTAGACAAAGATAAACAATATCGATCCTTTGGGAAAATCAAAGTGTTACAGCAGCCTCCTCCAAAGTCAAGCCAAACTACAGAGTAGCTCAGTAATATCTCCTGTACAAAAACAGAGAGTTGCTTAAAAAGCAGTAGAACATTTTGTTTTCTAAATCTTAGTATTCCGGGAAAAATGCCTGGACAGCGCGGGAGGGGCTAGGTTAACCTGAACTACAAAGGGGACTAGAAAACCAGTTTCTAAGAGCTCTGAAGAAGTAAAAGATCAGATATCAAATTGATTTTTTTTTTTTTTTTTGGTAAGGAATCGTTTTCTGTTAGAAGACACACAGATTTCTGAACTCTGTTTCATATGGAAGTTTGGATTTTGACAAATCTGGTGAAGTATCAAAATGAAATGTTTCATCTTCCTTGCTTCGTTTCAGCAGAATCAGAATGCTTCAGTTAGATAATATTAAAAACCATGTAAGATTGAATTCTGTAAATTTTTTTCAATTTAATTTCAATGTTTATATTACATTCTAATAATTTCTAATGTAGATTTCACCTAATAATTTGTATTTATCTTGTATAGTTTCAGCATTATCCACACAAAAAGTCTGAACATTACTGAAATTATTTTTTCCCAGCTTAATGGCTCCAAAATTTCCATTGAACAAAAAACTGGGAAATAAACCCAAATTTTGAGATATAAGAATTTTCTTTGGAGAGAACACTCTGGTTTTTCAGAATTTCTAACTGGGTTGGCCATTCTACTTGGCAATCACCAGTAAAGAGGTAGAACTTGAAGAAGGGGGAGGATATTACAGGAAAGGGAGTAGGAGCAGAATCTGGAGTGTAGACAACGCATTGTAAATTCAGAAAAGACCAAGCCATGAGAGTGAGACTGGAGCTCTGAAGGTGAAAAGCTTAAGAACTGAAATACAGTATAATTGCTGCAGAAGCAAATTGCCCTCCACACTGCCAACGCTATTTTAATAATAAGCAGTAGGTGTTAATAATGCTTAACTTTTGTAAGGTGGAATGATGCAAAAATTGTTACTAGGATAAGAAAGGAAGACAATGCACAGAACACGTGGGCTGCAAATGCTGAACAGCAACTTGCTAGTCTTCATCTCTTCCTCACTCCTCTGTGCCCTGCATCTATTTAATGTTTTCTTAGTTTTCCACTTTCCCCTTTCTTGGCTTTATATCATTTTTCACGTCACCCTTTTCTGCTTGGAATAACCTCACAATAAAAGTTGGCAAGGCCTCCTTCTTCACATCACTCCTGGAGACCTATCTGCTCTGGGAAGCTTTCCAGCTGTAAGAACTCACTCTGTGTTTTTTCTGCACTGTATCAACTTCTGTCTTTGGATTGTGCACTTCGCAGGGTGGGGACCCCATTACTGTCTGGCATATTTATCCTACCATATAGTGACTTCTTTCTCATATAGTCTAAGTAATAGCAATAGTCAAGATCAGGGGAAAGTCACACCTGTGACTCAGCCCTACAGAGCAACAAGGAATACAGTGAGTGATCAGTAATTATTATACTTTCTACTTAGAAAACTTCTGAATGGTCCCATTATAAAACCATAAAGACAGAGGGACTCACCTGGATTTCCTCTTGCAATAGACCAGTAGATTATCGAATAGAAAGAACTCTGAGATTTTTAACAAAGTCCCTTGGAGCAAGAGCTGTGTGCAGATATCTGTCAGATTTGACCCCTGAAACATAGAAAAGAGCTATTCTTTATTTTTAACTTTTTGTGTCTGTGCACAATGAAGGATTTTTACCAAAACGTTATTTTATCTGCATGTCATTAAACTGTGAAATAACTGATGCACTCATAAGGAGGAAGTCCTCAATTTCTTAATGTGGCTAAACACATCATGTTTTCTCTGGATTACAAATATTTTTCTGGAGTCCTCAAACACTACAATAAATCTTCCTTATTAAACTCCAGGAGACTTTTTCCTGAATAAATCTTTCACTCTCAAAGCAGCTGTATTGTGAGTCTCTCAAGACCATTAGTCTTCCCTTCATACCCTGAGCTATCATTGCAAATATCACAAGTGATGGTTTTAGGAATGCTTTATAAAAGAATAATGGTATTTCCCCAACATTGTAGCTCTGATACTGACATACATCACTATTAACCATCTCTCTGCAAAATCATCTCAGTGGTGATATGTCTCTCCAACTCTTTTGTTATAAGTATATGCAGGTGCTCTCCTTTTCTGGTGTTCTAATAAACACATGCGAGTTAGAAACGTAGCTATGAAAATCAGAGGTTGGGTCCTGGACACCGTGCCAGCTGCTATGTGCAAGCCATTATATGCACTAGACAGCCATAGAGATAACTGAGCTTGGTGCTCAAGACACTTTAGCCTATGAGGACGCCCGGAAGCTGAAAACCACAGCAGATCCCTCTAAACCATTCACTCCCCAAACTGTTACTCAGATTATTCCTAGGAAAAGCGATCAACAGTCCTTTAAATGGGGCCTTTCAGCACCAAAGCAGTTGGGCCCAAATAAAAAACAACTATAGGACTGTCCCAGGTTGCTCTCAGGACAGGCAAACTCTAAGTGTCCCCACATTCTGAATGCACACAGTTGGGAATCTACTCCTGAGCTGTTCCATTGACCAAACAAGATGGTTTGGCTAAATCTTAGGCACTAGCTTTAAATTCCTTGATCTAGTATTACTTCGAAGGTACAAGAGCATCCTATCAATAAAGGTCCCTTTTCAGAAAAACACCCTGAGGCATTGGAAACATTTACCACCCAGTTCTGGATCACATATTAGTTTTTGCATTTCTCTTTGAGTTGGAAGGAAGAACAACTTAGGATAATGGTAACTTCCTTCCATGGTCAGCATGCAGATGAGAAAGTAAATTAGATTATATGATCCACTGCCTTGAGTCTTACTGGAAAAGAGAACTGACTTCGGATTGCAAGACACTCATTATTAACCAAACTGCTTGATTTCCAAAGGTCCATTAACCCTATACTCAAAAATAATAGAAAAATTTTGTAAAACACAATTCATCTCACTTAAAGCAACTGAAGACATCTCTGTGCACAGGCATGAAATCCAGCTCCATCTAGAAAGTCACCCCAGAAGGATTTGTCTGAATGATTTTAGACATTGCATGACTGATTAGCTTTTTGGTTTGGGTTTTTTTTTGAGGAAGGTACAGTCTGCTGCCATCATGCTATTCAGGGGAAATCACTGAATTGAAATCAGCCTTTCTAAATGCAATGCAGTCATTCTAAAGGTGTGAATGAAGCTCTGACTACACCATTTTCTAAATCAAACCTGGCCAGCTGTGCTGTCCATGTCTTGCTTTTAGTTAACAAGGAAGCAGCTATTCTTTAAAGGCTGCCAAGTATGCAGCACCAATTTGTATGTTCCACATATGTGTTTCTATACATTCTAGATAGAATGATGCAGGAAATAGCTAGATGCAATAGTTCCATCTGTTGTCCTGATATGTTTTTATTTTCTTGATCATTCTATAGAAAGAGTTAATACATGTCCAGAAATGAGTACTTATTATTCTGAAAATGACTTGTTACTATCTCCAGGAGAAATCACTATATCTCAGAATTATGACCCCAAAGGCCTACTAGCACATACACAAATAGGAACAGAACCAACTGACTGTACAACATAAAAGCATGCTCCTCATGTGGTTTGCCCATGGAGAAATCAAGGCTTCAGAGCACCTCAACATCAAGTACTTAATTTTCCGAAAGATACCCAAAGAAGCAAAAGCAATGAGCACAGTGACGTCACTAATTGGAGTCAATCTTTTACCGACACAGGAATCAGTGGGTAAAATTATCTGGCCTATTTTGTGCAGGAAGTGAAAACAAATGATTGCAACAGTTGCTTCTCGCCCTAAAATCTAAGAATCTTTATTTTTCCATCAGACCCATCATGATGGTATCTAAACACTGTTGATGCATTTCCTGTTTGCTGTTCACCTAGCTACTTCCCATTTATACCAATTTGAGAGGTTTTTCAACAGTAAGAAACAGAGTAAAAAGATTTATTTGATGTTTTCAGAGACAACACAGGATTTCTCACCTTTCTAAGTGCGACTAAGCTGCGGGGGAGCCGGGGGCGGGGGGAGAAAAAGAAAACATCATAGCTGGTGGAATTGCAAATTACACACAATTATAAAATGATTGATCTACCTAAGCACTAACACGTATCTTACAACTCATGCTGTTCTGCGATGGGGGTTTTGCTTCCCTATGCATTTCAGACTGGGAGAATTTGAGGATATGTAGCAATTGTTCAGTAAAAATAATTCACAAGGACTCATGAGGAGGAGCTCTCCCCACAGAAAAATCAATATAAAATTAATAGAAACAGCATATTAACTTGTTCTTCACTAAGCAAACAAAAACATTGTATATAAAAGTTGGTCTTATCATGCATCCTCTACTTTTCTTTCCCCTTTTTTTTAAACTAATCTCTGTTTCCCAGAAGGATTAACCAGAATCAAATTGACCTGCCTGAGACTAATCCATAACATACATCTACATGGATTCTGTGCATTCCAAAAGAATGAAACTGAGCAGAGCTCATTTTGATGAGCAGACCTCTGATTAAGCTGCAGGCCTTCAGCGGCTTCCCAGACTTGGCCTACTTTAACATGTCCTCTCATTATAATCTGTCTCAGAAAGTGACTGACAGGATGATGCCAGTATATGCTCAGTGTATGATAGTGATAGTTGTATTAGAGAGGGAGACACAGATTGGTGGGTGGAGATGTTGAAGAAAAAATGTTGAACTGAGGAAAATGCTCTAAAAAACAACTACTGCTCTTAGTGAAGTTACAGATGACTCTCAAGAGCAAGAAGAAGAGACACCGCAGAAGCAAAACGATGTTACGTTGTTCTTCATGTTGGAAATATTGAGGGTGGCACTGATGGCAATAGGATGAAGATCAGACCAGGGATAGTCCATTGGGACAGTTGGAAGGAAGTGCAAAGTCATAGAAACCAGTGAAACTGCTGGTTTGGTTAAACCAAAACATTAGACAAGGTGGAGCCTGTTCCAAATAATGCGAACAAATAAACGCCCAACTTCATGTTGGGCTGCTTGCACACTCCCCAGATTCAGGCTACATCCCTTATAATTGTAAAATACTTGGTCACAAGTAAGCTGATCTTCACTCCTTTTTGACAATCTAGATGCCTTGGATTAAAACAGTTGGAAGCTGTAGGCCTTGTCAAATTAGCATGTATGGTTTATAATCACATATACAGGGCACCAGTGTTTCAGAATCCATATCCATGCTAACAGAAAAGGGAAATTTTCTATTTCGTAGGAGAGATTGCCATCAGATAAACTAAAAATAGGCATAAACTTGCCTTACAGACTTCCTCCTACAGCCAGCTGTGTGGCTTATATTATTGCTAAGCTAAAAATTTATTTAATTCAGCAATTGCAGCTTTCCATAGATAGAAGTTAGGAACCCTTCTCATTAGGAATAAACTGTGAAATACATCTGAAAGAACCAAAAGCAGTTGTTTACAAACACAGCACTTTACTCTAGAGTCATAATTTACAAGACCCCTAGCACTGTGGAAACCCAAGATAGGAAACTGTCAATCAGTTTCAAACTTCTTTACATGTACAGAAGAAAAAAATGCCATCATGTTGAGCATTGGCGTATATCTGTGATGTATAAAGCTAGTTTTCCTGCTTTTAATATGCCACTAGAATAATTTAGAAATGTTCCACAGCTTACTGGGAAGGAAAAACACTTCTTCCTTTTTGAAATTTTGAGCTAAGTGACCTAGGTGACTTTGTTACAAAGCAGTATATATAAACAAATCTGAAAGGGTTTTCAGTCCCAGAATGTTGCTGTAGATATGTTAAATCCTAAAAAAAACCTGCAATAAGTTTGGATACCACTTCATTTATGGCATCATGGACACTTTAATAGTCATGCTTCAGGCTCCAGAGTTCAAACCATGCCCTTGTCTGGATGACCCATGAGTTGCATTGAACCTGAAATGGTTTTAACTGTTTCTAGAAGTCTTGCTATATAGAACATTATATGACTTTGTTTGCTGAGCTTGCTATCCAAAAAATACACAGCTGGCTATCTGGGTTGTTCTCACGTCTTTAGCTGGATGCCAAGAACATCCTTCAGGGAAAAAATGAGCAAGGTTTAAAACATACACGAAAGATAAAAAACAACCCAAAAGAGAGTCATGGAGAGCACCCAAGAGTCCGAACATGAGGAAGTTTACATGACCTCTAACAAAATGTCCTCAGCTAAGAAATCCTCAGCTGGCAATGATCAGCCTCGACATTTTAAATGTCAGTCTCACTAAACGCCGACGCCATTCTCTCCATGAGACCATTTAACACCACTGACTCCCTATAGTGCACCTCCCAGAGGCTTCCAGCTCCACTGATTCAAGGACCTCAACTAACATCATCACAAGATAAGCTGCCAACCCTTTGCACACCATCCTAACTTCCCAGTATTTCTACTGAGTGGCTCTTTTTCCAGATTCCCTTTTCCCCCAAGCTTCACATTCTAGTTTTCTCCCTCTCTTATTTTTCTCCCTTCCATAGTAAATGCTTCTACCTACACAGATTGACCTACTGAAAAACACATCACTAGAAACACATCCATGGGTAACTTAACTAGAGCAAACACAAATATACCAGTTGCTTTCTAATCTAATGCTTGCTAATCTAACCTTTACCTTTTATACAGGAAATCTGTATGAAGCTAAGTAAGCTAACTTTCAAAGCTCCTGGAAAAACTAAAGGTTTGTAGGAATGGCAAGAGAAACTTCTGTTATTTAGACCAGTCCTGATTTCATCTTCTAGACCTATTTGACTTTCAAATGAGATCTGCCCATTTGAAGTTTCAGTCCATTCGAGCTCTAACACCTTTCTTTCTTTCATAATCCATTTGTTCTGCTACAATTTAGCAACAGCCTGCACACCCAAAATAAACACTAAGTTCTAAACTCGTCAGAGTGATGCCACCCACACCTTCAAGAGCATTCAAACATCACGTAAGAAACAGAAATCCCCGTACGCAGTATGAGTCACTAAACTTTAGCCCATTAAACTGTGTAGCGAACTGCCTCCAGGGAGCTTTCTAGTCCTACATCATACCTCCCATCCTTCAATGTGGGACTGCAACTGTTCAAGGGCTTCCAGTTTCTCCATCTGTCTCTTGGTCTCATTGATATTTGTGCAGACTGTCTTCATTGCCTGCAATGCGTTCTGGACAGCTGGGTGATCAGGATGCTTAGATGGAGTCCTCTTAGCTAATTCCTTCAAAAAAAAAGAAAAGAAAACATGCAATGTAAACTTAGAAGTGGCTCACGGAAAGGCACAAGCATTAGTGTGCAATCCCACAGGAAAATGCCAGAACCACTGCAAAATTAAAGAGAAGCTGTGGGCATCTTGTTGAAGAATGCTGTTCTCTGTTCTTCACCTGTGCAGGGTTGCCGTTTTATATGAATGCTGCTAAATAAATGAAGCCATCACTCATGTTAAATATACCAAATTAAGAGAGCTCAAGCCAAATACATTTTGCTGTGTCACATATGTTTGCTTCTAGTGTGAGCCAAGGCCAAATAAATTAAAAGATTACATAAAAAACACACTGTCCACTTCAAAGACATGCGATATACTCTTGTCCTAGCCATGGTCTAGATGCTATACCAGCCCCAGTGATGTGCATCCAGTATTCCAGTGATGCTGGATCGGGCCTCTTCAATCAGATAAACATTCTGCCCATAGCAGGTCTTATCAGGAACCAGTGGAGCTATGGAAATGGGGTTTTCTGTGAACTATGGCCTTATAGGAATAATGCTAGGCTATACACCCCCCCAGTACTTACAGAAATGATCAGGTGTACATTAATCCCAACCCACATGAAGCTTTAGGACCTAGGTTGTTTAGATCTATAACCAGCAGAAAAATGCAACCAAAGTGCAAATCAGATTTACCTAAGAGTGGAACTGCCATCATGAGAAGCCTTTCTCTTTCCACTGACCAAAGAGGGATTCCCGTGAGACACCTCTCCTAACTCAGATACCCCAGTGTATGGGGTGTCTGTACCCAGGGGCTGGCAGGAGGGCCGCAGGGGCCTCTGTGAGGAGAGGTGAGGGCTGCCCCGTGCCGGTTCCAGCCGGATCCGCAACAGACCCACAGCAGGACCCGGCTGAGCCCATCGGAGAAGCCGGTGGCATCTCTGTGAAAACAGAGAAGAAAGGGCAAAACATGGTAGGGCAGAGAGGAAAAATGTGAGAGAAACATCCCTGTGAGCACCAAGGCCTGAGAGGAAGGTGGGGAGGAGGCGCTCCAGCCCCTGGAGCAGGTATCTCCTTGCAGCCCATGGAGAGGACCATGAGGGAGCAGATATCCACACCGCAGCCTGTGGAGGACCTCACGCTGCAGCAGGTGGATATTCCCTGAAGGAACTGTGGCAGGTCGAGAGCCCATGCAGGAGCAGGTTCTCCTGACAGGAACTGCAGCCCATAAAGGACCCACACAGGACCAGGTTTATCCTAAAGAACAGCAGCCCCAGGAGAGCTCACGCTGGAGCAGAGAAAAGTGTGAGGATGAAGGAGCAGCAGAGAGGAAGTGTTACGTACTGACTGCAATCCCCCATTCCCCATACCCCCCTGCACCGCTCAGGGCTGGGGGGAAAGTAGAGTGAAGTTGAGCCTGGGGAAAACAGCGGAGACTGGAGGGAAGGTCGTTTTGTTTTTCACCAACCAAATACATTTTAATTGGCAATAAATCAAGTCAAGTCTGTTTTGCCTGTGATGGTAATTAGTAAGTGATCTCCCTGTCTTTATCTTGATCCACAAGCATTTTTTCATCTTATTTTCTCCCCCGACCCCATCAAATAGTAGGAGTGAGAGAGTGGCTGGGTGGGCAACCAGCAGCCGGCCAAGGTCAATACACCACGTGCAGATAAGCACCTATGGCTCTGTGCATGATGGGTCTGTGTGTCCAGAAATTGCAGGGAAATGCACTAGCCACAGCTGTCCCACGTTTTTGTGTGTCAGGAAGTATAATAATAATTTTATGAAGGAGGAAATTCATTTACAGAAGAGTAACTAACTTGTCCAATGACAAGTCATTTGCAGAACCAAGACTTTCTGGCACTCAGTTCAGTGTTTTAACCTCCACGACAGGCCCATGGTAAGTGGAGAGGGCTCCCCAAAAAGCAAAGTGGGAAAAAGTGTTGGAGTGGGAAAGAG